GCGGTGTCTCGTCCACGTGTCTTCCCTCTCCTACATGCGCGTGATGTGTTGTATGTGTGGTTTGCTTGTCGGTGTCTCTGCGCGCACGCGCGACAGACTGTTCGTTTGTGATTCGTGAGAAGGAGAGGGAGCAAGGGGAGGCGAAGGGGGATATGAGGAGACGCGGGTGGGCAGAAAACAAATTCCAAATTCCGCCACCGAGGAGCCCCACATATGAATTCGAATCATTACATCATCCCTCCGCGTGTACGTAGCATCCTGATTTCTGCACGTACAAATGTGAATTCTGCACAGGAATTGGCGCCACGCCTGCCACGCATTGTGAGCTTGCGACGGATAGCGCCCCCACCCCGCGCGCGCACTCTCTGCGCCGAGAAAAGCACACGCCTGCCATGTTCTGCAAGCGCACGACGGACAGCGCCCCCGACTCTTGCGCAACCCCTCGCGGTGTCGCGCAGGTGCCACGCCTGCCACGCTTAACGAGCGTGCGACGCACAACACCCCCCACCCCTCCGCACCCCCTGCTGCGTCGAGAAACTGCAAACCGCGCCACGGGTTGCGAGCGCACGACGGACAGCGCCCCCACCTCCACCGAACACTTCTGCGGTGTCGAGGAAGTGCCACGCCTGCCACGCTTTGCAGGCGCGCGACGCACAGCGCCCCCACCCTTGCGCACCCCTCTGGTGTGGAGAAAATGCTACGCCTGCCACGCTTTGCAGGCGTGCGACGCACGGCGTATCCACCCCCTTCGCACCCCATCTGGTGCGAAGGAAATGCTACGTTTGCCACGCTTTGCGGACGTGCGACGGACAGCGCCTCCACCCTTTGCGCACCTTTTCCGGTGTCGATGAAGTGCTACGCCCGCCACGTTTTGTAGGCGTGCGACGCGCAGCGCACCCACCCCTTCCGCGCCCCCAATGGGTGCAGAGGAAACGCTACGCTTGCCACAGTTTGCAGGCATGCGACGCACGGCGCCCCAATCCCCAGGGCACCCTTTCTGTTGTCGAGCAGGTGCAACGCTTGCCACGCCTTGTGAGTGTGCGACGGATGGCGCTGCCCCCCCATGCGTAGACATTCTGCGTCGAGGAAGTGGACGCCTGCCACGCTTTGCAAGGACGGATGGCGCCCCCATGTCCTGCGCACCCTTTGCGTTGTCGACCAAGTGCCACGCTTTGTTGTGAGCGTGCGACGGATAGCGCCCCCACCTCCTGCGCACCCCTCGCGGTGTCGAGCAAGTGCCACGCCTGCCACGCTTTGTGAGCGTGCGACGGATAGCGCCCCCACCTTTTTTCCGAACCCCTTGCGGTGTCAAGAAAGCGCTGCGCTTGCCACGCGCTGTGTGTCTGGCGCATGTGTATGTGGCGCGCGCGGCTGTCCGTGGTCGCGTGTCTCGTGCGCCCCCATCCCCCTGCGCACACCCTGCGGTGTCGAGCAAGTGCCAGACTTGCCACGCTTTGCAAGCGCGCGACGCACAACGCACCCACCCCCTTCGCACCCCTTTTGGTGCGGAGGAAATGTTCCGCACGCCACGGCTTGCGGACATGCGACGCATAGCGCCCCCACCCCTTGCGCACCTCCTCCGGTGTCGAGGAAGTGCCACGCTTGCCACGCTTTGAAAGCACACGACGGATAGCGCCCCCACCTCCTGCGCACTCCTCGCGGCGTCGAGCAAGTGCCACGCCTGCCACGCTTTGTGAGCGTGCGACGGATAGCGCCCCAACCCCATTTCCGAACCCCCTGCGGCGTCGAGAAAGCGCCACGCCTGCCACGCTCTGCCCGCGTACGACGGAGCGCCCCCACCTCCACCGAACCCTTCTGCGGTGTCGGGAAAGTGCCACGCCTGTCACACTTTGCGAGCGTGCGACATATAGCGCCCCCACCCTCACCGCAACCCTGTCCGGTGTCGAGGAAGTGCCACGTTTGATACGCCTTGTGTATCTTGCGTATGTGTATGTGGCGTGCGCGGCTGTACGTGGTAGCGTGCCTCATGCGCCCCCATCACCTGTGCACCCCGCGCGGTGTCGAGTAAGTGCCATGCCTGCCTCGTTTTGCAGGCGTGCGACGCACAGCGCCCGCACCCCTACGCACCGTTTCGGCGCGGTGAAAATGCTACGCCTGCCACGGTTTGCGAGCGTGCGACGCATAGCGCCCCCGCCCCCAGCGCACCTCCTCTGGCGTCGCGTCGAGCAAGTGCCACGCCTGCCACGCTTTGTGGCCGTGCGACGGATGGCGTTCTCACCACTTGCGCAGACCCTCTGTGTCGAGAAAGTGCTACGCCTGCCACGCTTTGCAAGAGCACGACGGGTAGCGCCCCCACCCCTTGCGCATCTTTTGCGGTGTCGCGAAAGTGTCACGCCTGCCACGCTTTGCGAGCGTGCGGCAGATAGCGTCCCCACCCTCACCGCAACCATTTGTGGTGTCCGGGAAGTGCCACGCCTGATACGCCCTGTGTGTCTTGCGTATGTGTATGTGGCGTGCGCGGCTGTACGTGGTCGCGTGCCTCATGCGCCCCCATCCCCTGCGCACCCCCTGTGATGTCGAGCAAGTGCCACGCCTGCCTCGTTTTTGCAGGCGTGCGACGCACAGCGAACCCACCCCCTGCGCACCCCCTCGGGTTTGCAGAGAATGCCACGCCTGTCACGCTTTGCGGGCGTGCGACGCACAGCGCCCCAACCCCTTGCGCACCTCCTCCGGTGTTGCGAGCCCGCCACGGATAGCGCCCCACCCCAGCAGGTTCGCTGCGGTGCCGAAGAAGTGCCACGCTTGCCACCGCTTGCGAGCTTGGAAAGGATAGCGCCCCCACCTTTTGCCTGCGGTGTCGAGAAAAGGTCCGTCAAAAAACGCCTTGCGAGCCCGAGACGGACAGCGCCCCCACCTCCAGCACACCCCCTGTGGTGTCGAGGAGATGCCACGCCTGCCACCTCTTGCGCGCCCGAAACCTATAGCGCCCCACCTTCAGCGCACCCCGTGTGGCGCCGAGGACGCGCCACGCTTGCCACGCCTTGCGAGCCCGAAACCGGTAGCGTTGCCACCCCTAGCGCACCCCCTCGTGGCGTCGCGGCATTGCCACGCTTGCCACGCGAGCCTGAAACGGATGCGCCCCCACCACCATATGGCCTGTTGTGTCGAGAAACGATCACGCTTGCCACGCTTTGCGAGACCGTGGCGGATGGCGTTCCCACCCTTGGTGGACCTTTTGTCCTCGAGAGGAAGAAGGAAGAGGAGGAGGGGAGAGGGGAGGTGCGAGACGCATGTGCGACGCGGGTGGGAAGAGAACCAGAACCCACGAAGCATGTGGGGAAAAACATAGTTCCATTCCCCCGCCCAACGAAGCCAGCGATGGGCGATTCGAGTGGTGGTCGCGCTCCTGACGAAGGAGGGAAAATACGGCTTAGCCGGGTCTCAGGCACAGCCCACAGCAAGGACGCGGCATTTCACAAGGCTATTCTTGCATCCTTGCATCTTCGGCCATTCCTTTCCCACCTTGTGGGAATGCGCCGCCGTAGTGGTTCCACCACTGGGCGCCCGAGGGTTCTGCACCCGCGCCTTACATGCTTAAATTAGCGAACGGCTACTGTAACTTGTGGCGGTGCCCCTACTCGGTCTACGTATATGCCTTCTCCACCGAGTGTTTTTGATATCAGGTAGGTTTTGCCGCCGCCGGCCTCGCGCGCGCGAAGCGTGCGCCCCGCGGCGCGGATAGTCTCACTTGGCGCGCCCGCCCCGCTCGCGGCGCAAACAGAGTGGGAGCTGGGGGGCATCAGCAGGCAGGAGGGGGGAAGATCGGGCGGACGGCAGCGGGGGGGCGATGAACGTGGGAGGAGCGAGGATTGCAGGGAAGCGGCCATCACGGGGCCCCAAGCGGCCCCGAAATTGCCACCGCGGGCCCAAAAAGGTGCGCGTGAGGCGCACGCTTCTTCACCCCACGTTCATCATTGCCCCCCTGCTGACAAACCCCCGAGGAGGTGGAGGAGGAGGAAGAGGATGACACGCACGCGGTCTGGGGCTCAGGCTCGGGTGGGTGCCCTGGCGCGGGTGGTACCTTGGATCGGGGCCATGCCTCCAATATTGTTTTTTGTCCCCCGGCAGGCGACGTCTTCGGATTCGAGTGTCTTTGGGCTGCGCGCGCGGAGGAGGAGGAGGAGGAGGAGGAGGAGGAGGAGGAGGCGGAGGACCTTCCCCGCTGTCCCGTCGTCCTCCCCTCCTCGCCCCTCATGGGCCGCCGTGGGGGGGGGCGATGGCCTGCAGCTACCTGGTTTGACCATCTCCCACCACCAGCGGCGACCGCCGCTGGGTGGGGGGGGGGGGGGACAGCGTTGGATCCCAGGGCCACCTGACCTGAGCCCTGAGGAGGAGCGGGAAGGATATGGACGGTTTTTAAAGGCGTTTGTGGAAAGCCCTCGTCGGCGCTGTTGGATTCCTCTCGAGATCCTGGCCCGAGCGCGCCCTGGGAGAGGGCAAAGGATCAACTCTGAGCAGGAAGGAGAGACAGCGGAGGGGGAGGAGGAGGAGAAGGCGAAGCGTGGCTGGCACATGGGGAGGAGCAGGAGAGTGGCAACGCGCTGGGAGATGGAGGGGAGGAAGATGGAGGAGGAGGAGCAAAGGAGCGCAGGGGGGACGGGGAGTAGGGAGGGAGGAAAAAAAAAACCTCCGCCCAGTGGCTCGAGGATCGTGCCCCGACGGAGGGCAGGCGAGAGGGATCCCAGGCCGAACCCGCGCCGATCGAGGCATCCTCGCCCAGGGGCCCCCCGCGTCGGGGCCCCAGCTCGGGAGGTACCGGCACCCTCCCCCCGCCGCGGGGCTGGGGAAGCTGAGAGTGGCGGGGGGTCAGCAGGCGGCGCACGAGCGGGAAGGGACGCGGGAGCGGCAGGAGAGCAGAGCAGCAGGAGACGCCACGAGCGGAGAGGACGCGCGAGCAGCAGGGGACACGGGAGCAGCAGAGGACACGGGGGGTAGCAAGGGAGTGCCGCGCCGCCCGCGGCGGCCCGCCCCGCCCGTGCTTGGCACAGGTAGCGCGCGCTGGGGGCGGGGCGGGGCGCGCCCCCAATCACGGGGAGGGCGGCCAGCCTGGAGGCGACCCTCTGGCGCCAGGGGGCTCCTCCTCCTCCTCCTCCTCCTCTCCTCCTCCTCCTCCTCCTCCTCCTCCTCCTCCTCCTCCTCCTCCTCCTCCTCCTCCTCCTCCTCCTCTGCTCATCCCGCACTCCCTCCCTTCCTCTCTCCCTTCCTCCCCCGACCCTCTCAGCCTTACTCCCACCCATTCTCCCGCCTCCCCATCCCCTCTTCTCATCCTCCTCCTCGGTTGGCCCTTCTCTTCCTCCTCCTCCTCCTCCTCCCTTCGCATCCTGGGAAGCGGCCCCGATCGCGGGGAGGGTGGCCGGCCCCGAGGCGGCCGCCGCCGCCCTGGCTGTCCCGCAGAAAGGAGCCCTCGGCAACTGAAGGGCGCCGCCGAAGGGCGGGCCCCGGGGCAGCGGCGCGGCGCCGCCGTCGTTGCCGCTCGTCGGAATCGATTTCTGGCGGCCTCGGCGTACCTCACCACGGCGACGCCGCCCCCGCCGCCCCGGGCGCGGACACGACCCGCGGCGTTCTGTGCCATCCGTTGCGCGTGCTCGTGCCGCTGTATCGTCCAGCACCGGCACCCCGCTTGCGTGCGGGGTGCGCTGCAGGTCCCCGACGAAGGCCGCGAGGGTCTGGGGATCCGCGTCGATGGGGCGGCCGTGAACGACTGCCGGGCGCCGGTGACCTGGGCCACCTCCAGTGGGGGAGAGCGAAGGTGGTGGCTTGGGTCTGGGAGCTGCCTTTCTCTCCGCGGTGGCCTGCACGAGGGCGCGGAGATGGCCGCGCGTCGCGCACCCACGGGGCGCGGCAGCGGGAGCCTGGGCGGCCTGGATGACGATGGGTTCTCTGAGAGCCTCGTCACCGCTGGCACCAGAGCGACCCACGCTTTTTGGTCTGCGGCGCCTTGGGTGCAAGTTGCGGCTGAGCCACCAAAGGGTTTCTGCTGAGCGAGTTAGGAAGTGCGGCGAAGGAGCGGCGGGAGAAGGAGGTGGGGAGGACCGCGGACGGCCAGAGCGCCCTAACAGTGTGAAGCACTTTGGGTTGTGCTGGAGCAGACTCGAGTCCTTGTCGCTGTCGGGGCGGCCCAGCGGCCATCACATCCAGGTGCAGGAGGTGAGCTGTGCAAAGGTCAGATCAGACACAGCAGAGCTACCCACACATGCGTGTTCGTGATTATGCGTTCCTGCGCGCATGTCACCCCCCCTGCTCAATGCACAGCGGAACGCGGCACCACGAGTGCGTAGCATGTGCCAACTGATGGACTTTCTGTAACGAATGCCGATGATGACGGTCTGCGTAAGCGTGTTCGTGCCGACTCGTTAGAGTGTGTGTGTATTGTGTCTAATCTACGCATACATACATGTGCATATGTTAACAAAAAAGGCCCATATACATACAAATAGACACGTGTGTGTGTGCGCGCAGTTCCTTCCGTTTAGTTCACGGTGGTTTGCAGCATAGCGATCCCTTTGCAAATTCAAATGGCTGTGAACTCTGGGAGAACTCCACGAGCATTGGCGAGGTTAATTTCCCTGAGAACTTATTTGACGCTGGCACCAGCAAAAATTTGACGGCAATGCAGGAGTCCGCACTGCTTGATTTCTTAGTTAATTACGAAAGTTATTCAGCATCACAACTACATAACGCATGCAAGTGGTCAGGGCTTCTATGTGCCTTTGACGAATGCCAATGTCGTGGGTGCCTCGCCTGAGACAGCCTCACAAACTGCTCCGGAAGAACAGGATCCTGTGCACGCAAACTGGCAACCCGCTTGAGTCATCCACACAGTCTGGGTGCGAATCTTGGAATGTCCTGGCGCCTGGCGGCTCCCCATCGGGGTGCCCAAATGCGACGCCTTCCATATCGCGGTGAGCATTGGACCCCCAAAAGAGACAAGTTCGGGAGGGACAGAAACGAGCAAACTGCTTGAGACCCCCCCACAATCTGGGCGCAAATCCTGAAGTGTCCAGCCAAAGAATGAACTCTGAATCTGAGTGTGAGCGTCTCTGAGTATGAGTCATCTGACTGAAGAAGTGACGGGATTGAGCCGAGTCTGAGTGCAAGTGAGTCTGACTCAGAGCGAGTCTGAGTGTGAGTGAATATGAGGGATAGTGAGTATGAATGTGAGTGGGTCTGAGTGTGATGAATGAGTCTGAGTGTAGTTGAGTCTGAGCGTGTGCAGGGGGGGAGGAGGAGGAGGAGGAGGAGGAGGAGGAGGAGGAGGCGGAGGAGGAGGAGGAGGAGGAAGGAAGGAGGTGAGTAGGAGGCGTCTGAGCAATAACAAGATCACCATCTTAGGACATGGGGAAAATGAGCCTGGCGACGGACCCAATCACGTATAAAAGATTCGTTCGCCTTCCTTTTGCACGCTTGCAGCTCGTTCTAGTGATATGTATATATACATATATATTGAGAGAGAGATAAAGAAAGAAAGAAAGAATGAAAGAACGCAGGTCGGATTTCGCCTGGGTCGTTATGTGGACCATGCTTGCGTTGTTTTAGAAGATTTAGGCGCGAAAGTTTGGGAGTGGGAGCTCTCAATGTGGATCGCCAACACTGACCTCACCAAAACTTTCGACAGATTGCAACCTTACGTCATTTTTTATAAATTGTCTGAGCAGGGAGTCGATGTAGAATATGGGCAGCTGTTGTCAGACATATACAGTGCCCAATGGGGAAGCGCCAAGGCAGCGCAGCTTTTGACATTACGCGCGGCGTCAAGCAGGGTGATGTTTTGCCACCGCTGCTTTTCAACGCCGACATGGAGCACGCAGTACGGAAATTCAAGGCGCGTGCTCAGCAGTGAGGCTTCGACGTTGGAGGCGTCAGTCTGTTCAGCAACATGCGGCACGCTGATGATAGTCTGCTAGATGCAAGTCCTACTGCAGAGGTTACTCGCATGCTGGACAGATTGCCGGAAGAGCTAGCAGCGTGCGGACTCGCATGAAATTCTGGGAAAACGCGAATATGTACCAACGACGATGTTGTTTCCAACGTCAAAGAGCCTCTCATTCTGCAGTTTGCCGGTTGCCAGCTGCCTGTCATGACGTCCCAGGTGTTCCACAAATACCCGGGCAAGGAATTCGGAGGCGATTTGCGCAGCAGATCGGCGTGCAAAGTAAATTTCCGCATGGAGCGCGATGGGAAAATTCCAGAGTCACACAGCCGTCTTTCTGAATAAAGCTATATATGTGTGCACGCTTTTCGACGCTGCTCTTACGCCCACTGCTGTCTACGGTCTCTCGACCGCTGCCGCCACAGCACACCAGCGGTCATTAATTGCATCAATGCGTTCAAGAATGCTCCACCAGATCGTTGGCTTCAGCAAGCTTCCCAGCGAAAGTTGGGAAGAAACCGGGCGACTATGCAAGCAGCAAGTAGGCGTCATTTTGAACATTCTCCCGTGTCAGATTGGCTTGTCGTGTTGGACTGCCGTTGCACGTGGCGCCTCGTGGCACGAATTCTCGTTGGTGGCTCGCACGAGTGGCCCTCGCAAGTGTTGCTCTGGATCCCGGCTGGAGTCTGACACCGAAGTAAATCGCGGCGCAGATGGACAAATTCTTTCGGTTCTTTCTTGCGACGAGAGCACGGGAAGAGTCTCAAGAACGTTATCCGCAGTTAGGAACATTCCCTTTGGCAGCGATTTAAAAAATAGTGTGTCGATCTCATGCGAAATACGTGACGTACGGCATACAGGTGTTTCAAGTTTGCCTTGCCCGCCACTCTCCCCCTGCATGCGCGCTACATTACCGTGGTGTTTCACGCCCTCTGTCTCCGCCTGCGGAGCGGGGTGCCCGCATAGGCTCCTCGACAGGACTTGACTTGAGGTGGACCCCACCAATATGCAGGCGTGAGCACCGCAAGGCAGGCGGGGCGAAGGAAGGGGACGTTCCTACGGGGCCCTCAAGCGTGTGATGGGTGGGCCGAAATGGGGAGGTGCCGCCATGCGGGCGGGGCCACGGAGCGTGTGATGGGTGTGCCGAAACGAGGCGCCGACGCCATACGGACCCTGGCAGCTGGGCATCTGGTTCGTGCACTGGTCCTCGAGGAACTTCGTCCACGACGTCTATTCGGACACGATCTGAGGCCACGGCCTCTTGCGCCCTGCCCAAAAGGGCACGGGCACACCTGTGTGCCCGACTCTGGCGCCCTCGCCTCGCCTCGCCTCCAGGGCGCCACGAACCAGGTGAGAGAGGTACCGACATGAGGCACCAACGCCATGCGGACCTTGGCAACTAGGCTTCAGCTGGAGCTCCCTGTGCGGCCGAGAAGCGTGTGAGGGGTGCGCGGGAATGAGGCGCCGACGCCATGCGGACCTTGGCAACTAGGCCTTAATTAGTTAGAGCTCCTTGTGTGGCCGAGAAGCGTGTGAGGGGTGCGCCGGAATGAGGCGCCGACGCCATGCGGACCCTGGCAGTTGGGCCTTAGCTGGAGCCCCACATGAGGCCACGAAACGTGTGAAGCGTGTGCCGACATGAGACACCGACGCCACGCGGACTTTGGCATCTGGGCCTTAGTTGGAGCTCCCCACGAAGCCACGAAACGTGTGAGGGGCGTGCCGGAATAAAGCGCCGACGCCGTGCGGGCTCTGGCATGTCGGCCTCAGCTGGAGCCCCGTGTAGGGCCACGAAGCGTGTGAGAGGTGTGCTGAAATGGGGCACCGACGCCACGCGGGCCTAGGCCTTGGCAGCTGGGCCTTAGCTGGAGCCCCATGGAGCCACGAATGTGTGAGGGATATGGCGTAATTAGGCGCCGCCGCCATGCGGACCCTGGCAAGTGGGCCTTAGCAGGCGCTTTCCACGGAGCCACGTGTCGCGTGAGGGTTGTGCCGAAACAAGGCACCGACACCATGCGGACCCTAGCATGTGGGCCTCAACTGGAGCTCCCCGTGGGGCCACGAAGCGCGCGAGTGGTGTGCCGAAGTGGACAGGCGGAGGGCTGAGGCAGAGATGGGAGGAGGAGGAGAAGGAGGAGGAGGAGGAGGAGGAGGAAGGAGTAAGGAGACGCGGGGATTGGGGAAAAACAAAAATCCCGTCGTGATGTTCTACTACCCGAGGGGTATGATTGTGCTGCATATTCGGGAGACCTCGTCTGCTCTGTAAATTGCGATCTTTTGTGGCATCCGACACGGGTCCGGCGCGGATTCGGCGCAGATTTGGCGTGGATGTGGCATAGATTCGACGAGGGCGGCACGGAGTCGACATGGATTCGACGCGGATTCGACGCGAACAGCGGCGCGACGGGACAGACCATGAGATTTTGTTTTACTCTTCCCGACCATCCTGTGGTGTTGGGTCCTCGTTTTGAAGAGACAGCGCCCCGCGTCACTCTTTCCTTCCTTCCTTCTTCTTCCTCTTCCTCCTCCCATCCCTGCCCTTGCCCTCCGCACCAGTTAACCATTTCGGCACACTCCTCACAGGCTTCGTGGCCCCATAGGGGACTCCACCGAGGGTCCCAGTGGCTGCGTTCGCATGGCAAGGGAGCTCTTCCGAAGGCCCCAGTGGCTGCGCTCGCATGGCACCACCGCACCCCTTTCGGCACACCACTCATACGTGTCGTGGCCCCCTAAGGAGCTCCACCGAAGGCCCCGGTGGCTGCGCTCGCATGGCACCACCGCGCCCATTTCGGCACACCACTCAAACGTTTCGCGGCCCCAACAGACAGGGAGCTCCACCGAAGGCCCCAGTTGTTGCGCTCGCATGGCACCACCGCACCAATGTCGGCACAAACGTTTCGTGGCCCCAACAGGGAGCTCCACCGAATGCCCCAGTGGCTGCGTTCTCATGGCCCCACCACACCAATGTCGGCACACCCGCACACGTTTCGTGGCCTCATAAGGGGGCTCCACCGAAGGCAACAGTGGCTGCGCTCGCATGGCGCTACCGCACCCATTGCGGCACACCCGTCACACGCTTTCGCATGCGCCCGCCCACCGCACCCTTTCGGTACATCCCTTACACGTTCCGTGGCCCCATAGGGAGCTCCACCGAAGACGATACTCACAATTGCATTACTCACAACTGCACATGGTTGGGTCTTTCGCCCGGCTATTTTGCATACGGGGTCCCCGCAAGTCTTGACCCAGTCCTGGGAGCTGGCGTCTCATCTCGGCGTCGTTTTTTGAAGGTCCTGGGACCGGCCGAGGGCTTTTGGAGGCCTAAATCTGCAATGAATGCCCATCTTAAGTTTTTGGATACGTTGGATCTCTGGCGATAGCGTTGCGACGGGACAGACAAGATCCCCCGAAGACGCGATGTGGGCCGGGGCCTGGCGGCCCCTGAAGGTGGCAGCGGCACCACCGCCGCCTCAAGCGCCAGCCCCAGCAGCAGCGCCCCCCCGGAGACACCGCGCCGCAGGCGCGCGCGTGCGCGAGGGCGCCCATGCCAGCCGCGACTGCGGCTGCGCGGGGCCACCAGGCCTGCGCCCCCCAGACGCCTTTGGGTCAGGAAATTATCCTGGCGAGGGGCCCAACCATACGCAACTGTGATTGCCACGTTGTGGGTGTCGCTTTCGGTGGAGCTTCCTATGGAGCCACGATCTTCGTGAGGGGTGTGCCGAAATGGGCGCGGTGGCGCCATGCGAGCGGACCCATTGGGGTCCTCGGTGGAGCTCCCCATGGGGCCACGAAGCGTGTGAGGGGTGTGCCAACACGGGAGCGGTGGCGCCATGCGAGCGGAGCCATTGGGGCCTTCGGTGGAGCTCCTTCTGGGGCCACGAAACGTGTGAGCGGTGTGCTGGAATGGGTGCGGTGGTGCCATGCAAGCGCAGCCCATTGGGGCCCGCAGTGGAGCTCCCCATGGGGCCACGATCCTCGTCAGGGGTGTGCCAAACTGGGCGGCGGCGGTGCCATGCGAGCGCTGGCATTTTGGCATGATGTGGAGCTCCCTATTGGGCCGCGAAACGTGTGAGCGGTGTGCCAAAATGGGCGCGGCCACTGGGGCCCTGGGTGGAGCTCCCTATGGGGCCACGATCTTCGTGAGGGGTGTGCCACACTGCGCGCGGTGGTGCATGCGAGCGCTGGTATTTGGGACTTCGGTGGAGCTCCCTATGGGGCCGCAATCCTCGTCAGGGGTGTGCCGAAATGGGCGCGGTGGCGCCATGCGAGTGCTGGAATGTGGGGCTTCGGTGGAGCTCCCCATGGGGCCACGAAGCGTGTGAGGGGTGTGCCGAAATGGGAGCGGTGGTGCCATGCGAGCGCTGGCGTGGGTGCCCTCGGTGAAGCTCCCGATGGGGGGCCACGAAACGTGCGATGGGTGTGCCGAAATGGGCGCGGTGGTGCCATGCGAGCGCTGGCATTTGGGACTTCGGTGGAGTTCCTTATTGGGCCACGATCCTCGTCAGGGGTGTGCCAAACTGGGCGGCGGTGGTGCCATGCGAGCGCTGGCATTTGAGCCTTCGGTGGAGCTTCCCAGGTGGCCACGAAACGTGTGAGGGGTGTGCCAAAATGGGCGCGGTGGCGCCATGCGATGGCAGCCACTGGGGCCCTCGGTGGAGCTCCCCAGGGGGCCACGACACGTGTGAGGGATGTGCCGGCATGGGTGCGGTGGTGCCATGCGAGCGCTGGCATGTAGGCTTGTGGTGGCGCTCCCTATGGGACCACGAAGCGTGTGAGGGGTAACAGGCATGCGGAAGGGAGAGGCAGGGATGGGAGGAAGGAGGGAGGAGGGGGGGGAAGAAGGGAGGAAGGAGGAAGGAAACCAGGGCGCTGTCTCTTCAAAGCGAGGACCCAACGTCACCAGATGGTTCGGAAAAAGCATGACGAGAGTTTTTCTATTATTTTCGGCCTCTGGGGGACCTTACCGGCCCTCTGGACCGCCAAAAAATATTCGGGATGAAAAACCAGTCCCAGGGAATGGGTCTGGGGGTCCAAGCCATGAAAATATCATGACGTCGGGGGTCCAGGCCTCTTGCATCTAATTTGTTTTGGGGGGGCTGTGACTTGGAGCCGGCTGGGGGTCTGACGTGGCCCAGCATGGGTTCCAGCGAGCAGGGGGAGAGGCGAGGTTCGAGGTCCTTAGTTCGGATAGGTGTTTGCCCTTTTCGGCCTCCAGGGGGGCCTCTGGACCAGTACAGCGGGCTCGAGGTCGCAACCTGACCATATGGACCCCAGGAGGGGTCTGAAGACCGAGTTTGAGCGGATTGTCCCTCCTTCGTTGCGTGATATCCGTCCCGAATCAAACCTCCTTGGTTAAGTGTTGGTGGTCGCCGCGGCGATCGCGGCGGCCACAACTCAAGGTAATGTTTCTTCTCGAGGAGTGGCGTGTTCCTTGCCAGCCCCCCCCCCCGCTCTGCGATGTACGCGTGGCTCTGAATGGACAATATAGCGGCAGAGAGTTGCCCATGTATGCCCAACATGAACAGTCATGTTTTTTGGGGGGGAGAGGAGCTGATTGCCACGCAACCCCACCAGGCCCGCGCCCTCCTGCGTCCATGTTCATTGGGCGGGTGTTGGTCAGGAGGAAAAGAAACACACAGACACAGTCGATTTCTCTGAAAATATGGGAAAATATGGGAAGTGGGGGGGAAGACAAAACCCCAGAAAATATGGGGAATCTTTTTATTTGGGTGTATCTATTTGTGTGTCCTGGGGCCCCTTCAGTCGGGTGTTGTGACTGTTCCTCGACCCCTCCTCGCGTCGTGAACCAGCGAGGCTCCGCGGTGTCCGAGGTTTTCGGACGCCTCGTGGCTTCCCGGACGCTCTCTGGCCTCGGAGCGCTTTCCAGCAGCTGCGCCTCGCGGGCAAGGTCTCGGGGGTGCTCGGACCTTCCCACAGCGGCCGCCGGAGACCCGAGCCAGGACCCGCCAGTCAGGCCTCGCATCAACAAACAGGAAACGGTGTCTCCGGCCGCGTTCGGCTTCCCAGGGGCCCTCGCCAGGCCCCCAGGGCCGTCCGAAGACGGCCCGGGGTGAGAAGTTGGACCCCGCTAAGGGGTCCAAGCCTCTGGAAAGCCACGCTGTGACAAAAATCACGACGTCGGATGTCTGGGATCGGCCTCTCCTCTGGAGCTCGAACGTCGTGTTCTCGACGAGGACCTTTGGAGGCCTGGACCCCTTCGCTGGGACTGGCTCGGCCCAAAGACCTTCAGTCGTGACTATTCCGCTAAACGATGAGTTCTCTGGTCCTCCCAACTTCGGCTGTTCGGGATCGTTGTCTCCCCGCGCGACGACGACCGCGACCACGACCACGACGACGACGACGACGACGACGACGACGACGACGACGACGACGATGGCCCCAGCGTCATAATTTTAGTCACAACGTGGACCTTCGGAAGTGTCGACCCAGGACCAGCTTTTCATCCTGAGCCATTTTTGACGGGCCCGGGTCCCGGCGAGGGCCCCCAGAGGCCGAAAACGTGCAGAAATTATCCGTAGTTTTGCTTCACGACGCGAGCGGGTGTGGGGACGACGACGACGACGACGACGACGACGACGACGACGACGACGACGACGACGACGACGACCCCGAGGCAACGCCTGCGCGGCGCTTCGCGCGGGTGGAGCCTGGCGGCAGCCTGGGAGGCGCCGCCGCATCCGTGCGAGACCGGGCTGCTGGGCGGGAGGGGAATGTGAGAACAAAGCCGAAAAAAGTGTTGCATCGGCGGCGAGGCAGGGGGTGTCTGCGCTAGCAGAAAGGCCTAAACGGGGGGTGCCGTTTGAGCAAATTGTGCCACCATGCAAGAGGGGAAGCAGGAAGAGGACGCGGCCGAGACAAAGCCGAAAAACAAAACCCCCCTAAAAAATATTTCGAATTTCGGATCAGAGAAAAATGCATCGGCATAAACTTCTGAAGTACATAGGTACAAATGTCTGAGGTTTGCGTGGGTTTCTTGTGTCGGCGCTGGCGCCAGGCCCCCCTGGCTCTCTCCGCACACCATGGAGGAGGGTCCAGCGCCGATCCAAGAAATCCGCGTGGACATCCGAAAGTTTGTGTTTATGTCATTA